AAAAAAAGAATCATTATAAGAAACTTAAGAAATAGGCGATCATAATTAATTGTTAGAGCGACTTTCATTTTGTATGAAAGTGCATGACGAAGAGATTCGTAAGTCGATCTGACGATCAGAAGAGGACGGATGAATCGAGTTGTACTGCAGCCGTTTGGCTTTTTGACGACGTTCAGGTTGACGCAGACAATGAGACTTGCTTCCTCAGCCTTCTTCCATCATTCAATGGACATCATCAAAGCTTGAACTAATTCCTGTAGAAGTCTTACATTAACACCAAATCGAAAAGACTATCCGGCCCTATCTTGCCTCTTGCATAGATTGAAGTAAACAAAATAAAATAAAAACCCTAGATTGAAGTAAACAGAATAAAATAAAAAACCTAGATAAGACAATTATAGTCATAATTGAGTAGGGTTTCGAGACTACTAGTAAATCAGCGTAATGAGATGTATTCACCCTATTTCGTGTAAGGTGATGAAGGACTGGTAGTAGAATTTTTCCACAATGATATGAGTTGAGCTGACGTTTCCATTCAATTTCACATAGCCTTGCTTTCCCAAAAGTTGTTCCTTCAACCTTGCTTTTTTCGACCAAAAGTTGTTGACGAAGGACTGGTAGAAGAATTTTCCCACAATGCTATGAGTTGAGCTGACGGCCACGATGATATGAGTTAAGCTGACGTTTCCATTGAATTTCACATAGCCTTGCTTTCCCAAAAGTTGTTCTCATCCCTAGGCACCAGTGGTCTGCAGTTTCGACCTCGCATTGGTCTTATCAACACCCTCAGCGGGATTCGAACCGCGACACTCATATGATTGTGGGAAAATTCTACTACCAGTCCTTCATCACCTTACACGAAATAGGGTGAATACATCCTCATAAGACAATTATGTCTTGCATACTGGTCCTGCTCTATCTGCTCGAGTGTGTGCGTGTGTGTCTGTGTATGTTTGTGTGTGTGCATGTTGGCGTCTATACGCAATCTCGGTCGTAAATCAGAGTTATCAAAAGGTTAAAGTTAAGCTCTCATCGTCAAGGCCTTATGAGCCAAGAGAAAGCCCTGACTGAGACTGCGTAAGTGCGTCAGCAAGTGGGGTTGAGAGAATGAGTTATGAGCTTGGACGTCGTCCAAAAGCCAAACGGCTGCAGCACAACGCGATTCTTCTGGTCAGATCGACCAACGAATCTCTTCTTCATTCACTTTCATACGAAACGAAAGTCCCCCCAACAATGGTATCTCAGGAGATTCATCGAAACCCAGTTTCCCTTGGTATCTACTTTAAGTAGTGGACAGAAATCATTCACAGAAGAATATAAAAGCAGGATAAGTCAGAAAATGGTAAATCTGGAATTGCAGCCGAAGAAGTGATATCTGAATTTCTTACTTTTGATTTTTCAAATAGTAAGAGTTTTACTGAAGAAATTTCGGTCAAAGTCATTAAGCTTACTGACCGACTTACACAATTTACTATGAATGAGATTAACATACAATTTGTTTCTTCAATGGAGAATCATGTAGAGGTATCAACAAGAATTGGTGTGTTGTTGACATCATTAAAAAGCGTAGACAACAAGTACAAATGGATTTGAAGACAGACAAGGGAGGGGGGGGGGCAGTTGAAG